CTGTTCTGTTTCTTTCAGGTGCTTCTGCTTATTTCTGCTATGATTCATCAAATATTAATCTGAAGATCACCAAGTTTGAAATCATGATGATACAAATTTATGAATTCTTAATTTTCCTCATTCCAAGTTCCCAGAGCAAAATTTAAGGAAATTCAGACTGGAAGCCCCATAATTGAGGATTATTTATTAATGATCTGCAAAAAAAAAAAAAAAAGACATTTTATCAGATATAAAATTACGTATATAAATAGTTGAGCTGGATAATGACATATCTAAATTAAAAAAAAATGTATTCTTTTGCTAGTTGTAAACACCAAATATGATGTTTGTTGAATAAAATTTTAAAATCTTCTGTAAATGTATTTCTAACAGATGGTACAACCGCTATGGAAAATGGTATGGCACTTCCTCAAAAACTAGAAATAAAGCTAACGTGTAATCAAGCAAACCCATTCCTAGGTATATATCCTAGAGGCCTAGGAGTAATGACATGAACAGACATATGCCCACCTGTGTTCTTTGCAGCTTTATTCACAATAGCAAAAAAATGTAAACAACCCAAGTGCCCATCAGCAAATGAATGAATAAGTAAAATGTGGTACATACATGCAATGGAATACCATGCAACTGTAAAGAACAATAAAGAGTCTACTAAACATATTATACCATGGATGGACCTGGAAGGCAAAATGCTAGGTGAAATACATCAAGCATATAAGGACAAATATTATATGATCCCTCTTTTATAAACAGACAAGAATAGATATATATAAAGAGACCAGTGTTCATTGGTGATTACCAGGGAGAGGAGTGGGGAGGGAGAAGCATGCTTTAGAATGTAGATACTTGTTGTTTTTGGTGATAGGAAAAGTGGCACCAAATGTGGCTGTAGTAAGCATGGCATGACCAAAGTAAATTATGTCACTGAGAAGCACTCAAGAGAAAAGGATGCCTGTACTAAAGAATTTTATATATATAAGAGTAAAAACTTCAAGAAAGTTTAAAAAATGAGTGTAGGATCACACATGGATGGGTAAAGCATATACGTATATGGGTAGATACGGGTGTATACATATGTGAGAACAGATAGAAGTATCTATATGTACATGTAAATATAGCTATTTGTGTGCAGGCACACATATTCGTTGAAGACACAACTACAGAAACTCCTCAGACATAACTAAACACCTTCTGAGATGGTTTTCTATGTTTGAAGGCTTAAGACCATAGTCTCATGGGACAACTCAGTTAATTGGCATAATATAATTCACCAAGTTCGTGTTCTGTATCCTAGTGAAGTGAGTAGTGTTTGGGATCTTAAAGGCTTGCTTGTGGCCATCCAAGATACAACTATTGTTCTCTACTGGTCAGGAGCAAAGAAGTAAGAAAGTAACAAAAATCTCAGAGAAGAAACAAATCTACAAGGCTGAGAGCCTACAAGAGCCGTGACCTCATCTACCCTGAGACAAGAAGAATTAGATGGTGCCTGGCTACTACCACTGACCATTCTGACCCTGGTCACAATAGATGGTCCTGGATATAATTGGAGGAAATGTAGAAAAAACCTCAAATTCTTTTTTTTAGGTTTTTTTTTTTAAATTTTTTTTATTGTACTTTAGGTGAAAGTTTACAGAACAAATAGCTTCTCATTAAACAGTCAGTACACATATTGTTTTATGACATTGGTTAACAACTCCACGACATGTCAACACTCTCCCTTTTCAACCTTGGAAGACTTTTTTTTGGATGAAAATATACATAACCAAAGATATGCCGTTTCAAAAATTTCTACACGTACAATTCAGTGACAGCAATTATGTTCTTCCAGTTGTACTGCTATTCTCACTATCCTTTTCCAAATGATTCCATCATCATTGTCTTCAACTCACTGTCCCCTAGGCTTCCCATCAAAGCTTTTGATTTAATCTTGTCAATTTAATCTCACATAGATAATTCTTTTTTTTTTTTAATACTGTAGATGAAGGTTTACAGAACAAAATAATTTCTCGTTAAACAATTAGTACACATACTGCCCTATGACAATGGTTAACAACCCCACGACATGTCAACACTGTCCTTTCTCAACCTTGGGTTCCGTATCACCAGCTTTCCTGTCCGTTCCTGCTTTCTAGTCCTTGTTCCTGGACTGCTGTGCCTCATTAGTCCCAATTTGTTTTATGGGGCTGTCCACTCAGGCTGAATGGTGAACCTCGGAAGTGACTTCACCACTGAGCTAAAAAGGTGTCCAGGGGCCATACTCTTGGGGTTTCTCCAGTCTTTGTCAGGCCAGTAAATCTGGTCTTTTTTTGTGTATTAGAATTTTGTTCTACATCCTTCTCCGGCTCTGTCCAGGACCCTCTGTTGTGATCCCGGTCAAAGCAGTCAGTGACGGTAGCTGGGCACCATCTAGGTATACTGGACTCAGTCTGGTGGAGGCCGTGGTAGCTGTGGTCCATTAGTCCTTTGAACTAATCTTTTCCTTGTATCCTGTTCTCTTCATTCTCCCTTGCTCCCGAAGGGATGAGACCAGTGGAGTATCTTAGATGGCTGCTCACAGGCTTTTAAGACCCCAGATGCTACTCACCAAGGTAGAATGTAGAACATTTTCATTTTAAATTGTGTTATGCCAATTGAGCTAGATATACTCCAAAACCATGGTCCCCATGGCTCTCTCCCCAGCAATTTTGTCCCTTAGGGAGTTTGGATGTGTCTATGGAGCTTCCATGACCTTTCCTTGTACAAGTTGTGCTGGCTTCCCCAGTATTGTGTACTGTCTTACACTTCAGCAAAGTTACCACTTATTTATAGTCTATTTAGTATTTCAAATTCTTAAGAAAAGCCAGAGTAACTGGACCAGCTAACACCAGAGGAATCTCTGAAACTATTGCCCTGAGACATTCTTTAAACCTTGAACCAAAACTATACCCTGAGATCACCTTTTAGCGAAATAGCAGAGTGGTACAAAAAATAAAAGATATTACCTGTAAGAACGGTACTCTACTAAAAAACCATCTGCATGACACCAAAAGGTCAACATTTACTCTAAAGCGAAGATGAGAAACTAGAGTACTGGAAATGGAAAACCAAAACACAATTAAAGAGAATGTTGACACATAGTGAAAAATGTAACTAATGTCACAATTTGTGTGGAAATTGTCAAATGAGAACCTAACTTGCTGTGTAAACTTTCACCAAAAACACAATAAAATATTACACATATTAAAAAAATGTAGTATTATCCCACACTTTTCTTAAGGTTGACTGCTGTTGTTGTTGTTAGGTGCCCTTGAGTTGGTTCCCACTCATAGCGACCATATGTACAACAGAGCAAAACATTGCTGGTCCTGCGTCATCCTCAGAATTGTTGTTGTGCTTGAGCCCATTGTTGCAGCAACTGTGTCAATGCATCTGACTGGGCTTAGCTGAGTGGTTCTTGCCTTGGTTGCAGTCAGAAGACAGCTAGATTACAGTTGTGTTAAAGTCCACTGCCAGGAGGGATTGACTGTTGCCTGGGAGCTCATTTGTATATCATTTGTGTATCAGAGCACCTATACAGCTTCACTTGACTGGGATTCTAAAAGCATAGTAGCTGTGTTCTGAGAGGTGTCATCACAAAACCAGTGTTCCAAGAGGCCTAGACAGATGTTGCAAGACTTTCTATGACATAGCCTCAGACTCTGTCACACTGAATCATCTGTATCCTATTGATCAAAATAAGTCACATGATGACATCATTGTCAATTGGAGGGGATTATATGAGGGAGTAAAGACCAGGAGGTTTTACTCATTGGGTGTCCTGTTGGGAAACTAGCCATCTCAGAGAGGGGAGGGGAGGTCCAGAAATAGCCTCCTGAGTGTGGAGGCCATGTTTTTTTTTTGCTAATATGTCCATGGCCTTGAGAGCATTCAAGTGGATTGTTTAACTGACACTATAAATAATGGATAAAATATTTTAGGTAGATTTTTAAAATCTTAAAAATAGTGTTATTGTTATTGTTTTGTTTTTAATAGTTAGAATCACTATAGAGATATACTACTAACATGATCGTCTATGATTACCTGGTGCCATGTAAGTTCAAACTTTCTTACAAGCCCCAAGGGAAAAAAGTGGCTTTTATAAGTAAAGCTAATCTGAACCTGACTGTATGATATCTCTGAGACTAGCCACACAACATAATTCTGAAAATAAGATGATTTAAAGTTTCTTACACCTAAATGTCATACATCAAATTCATTCATGGTGTATATTATTACAGAATAAAAAGAAAATAAAACAAGCAAACAAATTCCTCCAAACTGTCAAAATATCTTATAAAGAAGCTATATATCTTGATAGTTTAAGGACTATAATATTTTAGGTAGAACATCCCAAAATACATCAGCACGAACCTCAACTAATTAAAAAGTAGGGAAGTTCCAGAATGTGAAATCATCTAACACTTTGCTTAGTATCAGTGATGAATTTAGATATAATTCCTTTGTCCTATGAATATTTAGGAAAATATTGGTAATTATTACTCTATAGTATGCATATTACTAAATTAAATTATTAAAATGTTTTAATATTATTTGTATGAAAATGGATAGATCTTAAAAATATTTAGCAAAAGCTGATACCATTTATGTAAATTGCAAGATGCACCAGTAAATATTTTAGATAAATATGAAAAATAAGATAAAAAACTTCATCAGCTTAGAGATGGATTGGGATAAACAGAAGTCTTTAAAAAAGATACACCAATTATCTGTTTCAGGTAGTGGATGATTGAAGTACCTTGGAAGAAAAGAAAAAAGGAAACCCCAATAAAAGCTTTGAAAAGCTATTTAATATTCAAAGTATAAAAATTAAAAAATATATAATAAACACAATATTTGTATGCAGAAACCAAAACACCTATGGGGAAGCAATCAGTGAGGTGATACAAAATTCAGGGAGCGTGGAGATGTGGAGTGCAGGTGGTAAACAGTGTTTCAAGGGGGAGAGATTAAAAAACCGTCTAGTGCTCACTTCCGCAACACGTGCACTAAAATTGGAACGTTACAGAGAAGATTAGCATTGCCCCTGCTCAAGGATGACACGCAAATTCGTGAAGCGTTCCCTATTTTTGTTACAATGTGTATGGCTACACTGGTCAAGGTGTATTCAGTAATGTTGTACAAGCCAGAGATAATGCAAGAGCAAACCAGGAAGTGGCTGTAAAGATGATCGGAAACAACGAGCTGATGCAAAAAAATTGGTTTAAAAGAACTGGAGTTCTTGAAAAAAAATAATGATTCTGATCCTGATGACAAATTTCATTGTTTGAGAGTCTTTAGACACTTTTATCACAAACAATAACTGTCTCATTATCTGAGCCTCTAAGTGTGAATTTACAAGAGGTATTACAAAAATATGGTAAGGTTGTTGGTCTTCATAGTAAAACTTAAGATCATATAGTCAGCAGATGTTCTTGACATTGAACCTCCTTAAAAGATGCAATATCTTGCATGCAGATATCAAGCCAGACAATACCCTGGTTAATGAATCAAAACTATTTTAAAGCTTTGCAATTTTGAGTCAGCATTACGTGTGGCAGATAACGATATAACACAATATTTTGTCAGTCTATTTTGTCGTGCTCCTGAAATCATTATAGGTAAGAGCTACACTACGTATAGATATGTGGTCTGTAGGTCGTACCTTATATGAACTTTATACTGGAAATTTTTTATTTCCCAGCAAAACTAAGAAACCATATTTTGAAACTCACCATTGGTCTCAAAGGAAAGATGCCAAACAGGATGATTCAAAATGGCACATTCAAAGACCAACATTTTGATCAAAATCTCCACTTCATGTACTTAGAAGGTGATAAGGTACCAGAGAGGGAGAAAGTTACTGACATGAGCACCATTAATCCAACTAAGAACCCATTGGATGATTTGATTGAGTGCCAGGAACACCCTGAAAACCAAAGTGAAAAAGCACACCAGCTAAAGCGCTTGTTGGACCAGATCCTCATGTTGGACCCAGCTAAATGAATTAGCATCAACCAGGCCCTACAGCATGCCTTCAACCAGGAAAAAATTTAAACAATATCAAGTAGCTCTAAGGGTTTGAGTAATTAAATACAAAGATTGAAGAAATTTATTAATGTGTGTGTGTGTGTGTGTGTGTGTGTGTGTGCGCGCGCGCGCGCGCACAGGCCATAGCAGCATGCCCTTGGTGTAGTCACTACTGAAAGGGGTCTGTTCTTTCTTGAGCCTGCCTTCAGGGATGGTCTCCTCTTGTAAAGCAGGCTGTGTACAACATTCAGTACACTGAAGGCGTAAATCTTCCACTCTTGAACAAAGCAGCTGCTGTTTAAAAGCGAGAAAAAGGAAAACGGGGCACAGGCCATTCAACGCCTTCTCCAAGGAGTCTGATTTGCTGAGACAGCAGCTTCACCACCTTTACATGGCACCTAATTACAACAAGCACGCACATTATGATGCATTCAAGAATGGATAATCGGAATAGCAGCATCTTCTGGTGGATTTTGCTTCTTTTAAAGACCTGAAATGAACCACAGCCAGGAAAGTGCTAGATGAGTTAATATGCCATCTATGAACCTAAAACCCATCTCCTCATGGTTTAGACTTACTAAAAGAAACACAAGGTGCAGCTCAGTGGCAGATGATGACAACTAGAAGACATGAGCTAAGGTTTCTGTTCTAGAAAAGATTAAAAAATAAAAAAAGTACTCATCTATTAAAAAATACAATAAAATAAAAAACTGTGTCTAATGCCATGGACAGGGTATGTACTTAATGACAATGATGTAGCATTTTGATAGAATGGTGAAGCTCAAAGATCATTCAAAACAGAATAGAGGGAATGATTTTGGAGATGGCAAATATACACAATTCTCTATGAGAAGGCAAGAAATGAGATAATGACTGGAAGGAAAAAAAAAGCTACACTCATGGCCATTGAGTCAGTTCTAACTCGTAGCAAATCCATATGTTACAGAGTAGAACTGCTACATGGGGTTTTCTTGGCTTTAATCTTTATAGAAGCAGATTACCAGGCATTTTTTCCTCAGCATCTATTGGGGGATTTGAACCACCAACCTTTAGGTTAGTAGCCAGGTGCAAACCCTTTGCATCACCCAGGGACCTTAACTGGAAGGAAAGAGGGTTGAAAATTGGTTTGTTGGTTTTGTTTTTATTTTTTTAAGATGTAAGATATAACATAATTTTTGCATGTTAATAGGAAGGAGTAACCAATCACTGAGGACTGTATAAAAAATAAAATAATCCCAAAATTAGAAATGAAAAAATATACACATATTTTTTTAAATCAAATTGTAATGAAGCACAATGTTTTTATTTTCTAAAAGTATATGGCCAAAAGAGATCATCAATTAAAAAAAGATAATTACCTAATTAACTCTCTTCTCCTCTATTACTTTAAAAATGTCTTAAGTTTGTCATGTCGACACAGCCTTAGCTTTGAAAAGTTGCTCTCTGATCATGCCATTGGTTTTCACTTGTCGTTCTAGTTGCTGGAATGCTAAGTGTTGGTTATGTGGATTAAAGACTTTCTTCTTAGGAAATTTACAAAGCCACTGAGTTTATCGATTTAAGTTTTTTTTTTTTTCATTTTAAAAATGCATCTGAATTGTCACACACATTTTGACCATGATCAGTCTCATCCTCAATTACTTAAATGGCGATTTATTTTTGTTTCATATATTTATTATAAGTGATTATATCTTGTTCATTTTTAAGTCAAAATGAATATGATAGAAAATATCTTTAGTGTACAGAGGCTGAGTTTTTTTCTTTTTTTTTTTTTTGCACTATGCTTTTATTCTTTTATTTTCACCTACTGTAATTCTGAGAAAATAGTATGTTTGCAATAGAAATGATCCAAATTTGTTATACACGTACACTGAAAGAAAAAGCCATAGAAATAATTTCTAGATACAAGATTTTCCGAGGTACCAAGTGCCTCTTCAATTATAAGCTGTGAATATACTACTCAATTTTATACTATTTTATTTTGCAAAGAAAAACTAGCATGGCTTTTGAGAAAGGAAAAAGTACTTTACCTTGGCCGGTCAAATGTTTTGGAAGCTATTCCATACAATCATGGTGTATTGGTATAACTAGATGATTCTTTTTCTCTTTATATTAACATTAGCAGAGCAAGGATAATGGTTCATTGACATATTCTACTCACTAGCACATAGAAAACAATTGCAGCACATAATGTGCTGTTAGAGAACAGTTCTTTGTATCACGTCATTCCCCAGGAATGCATTGGATACTGCTATATGTGTTTTATAAACTTACGAAGGTTATTGTAGTTGTTAGGTGCCCTCCAGTCGTTTTTTAATTACAGCAACCCCACATGACAGACTAAAATTGCCTCAGAGTGTTTTCCTGGCTGTAATTTTTACAGAAGTGGATTGCTGGGTCTGTTTTCTGCCCGAAGCCATTGAGTGGGTTCAAACTGCCAATCTTCCAGTTAGTGGCCAATCACTTGACGGTTTTGCCACCAGGATTCCTGGCAAGACTAGCTTTTTATAAAGGTAAGCTTTATAGAAAATATCTACATTTAAGAATTATTTGTTAAGAGGTGAAGTAGTTGTTATTATCATTTTTGATAGAGAGCTACTGACTTATTATACCAATCAAAATATTCATTAATTTTTGCAATGAAGCTACCTACATAAATCCAAATAAATTGCTTGTTTTCATAACTTTTTTATTTTAATGATGCTACTGAAACTTCATTAAGACCTGAAACAAGAGGTGTTGTGGGAAAGACGTGGAGGATACATCATTCAAAGTAATCTAAAATGTTGACAGAAATGGTTATTCAGAAAACACTCTATGTTTCGAAAGTTGAAGCACTAGAATCACATTGATAAACTCATATAATTTTTCTGAATGTTTGTTTTATCTCTGCAATAAAGCTCGTGTTTCTTTATTGCTTATATATCCCATGTTGCCTTATATATTAGTGCCACATCGGTTTAATAAATATTTCATTAAGTGAGAGATGGAATAGCAATGCTAATATGACAATGTGCTGAGTATTTTATTTTATTTTTTAAGTCAGAAAGAAAAGATATGCGTCCATTTCAGAGGGATTTCCTCAAGCAAACAGAATATACTTTTGTGGAATAATAAATACAATCCTTTGAAAAAAAATGATTTAGAGTGTTTTACAGAATAAATATGAGAAACAATCATATATCACTTTCTTAATAAATTATTTTTTTCTATTATTTGATTTTTTTTCACCTCCTTTCTCCTAATATTTCTTATACTCCCATTTTCTCTTCCTGTTTAGTCAGTGGCCGTGTTAAATACCTCACAGAGAAAACATATGAAATCCGAAGAAAACTATCTAACTTTCCCTTCATCATCTTCACTAACCTCTTTAACCTTTTTTGTATACCTTCTGTCTTCCTTGTGTTACAGTAATACGTCCTCATGCTTCTTTATACAATTAAGTCATTCATTTTTGTTCTGTACTTAATTTTTTCACCACTTAAAGGACTTCACTACTGTAAGTTTTCCTTTTTTCTTGCATTCATACTTTGTCCAACTTTAATTTTTCTTACAGGAAAAGAAAGATGATAAAATATCATCCTATATTTACTCCATTCCAGATTTTGCTCCATGTCTATATTTCTTTGACAGCAAAACTGATAAAAATATTTAGCTATACTCACAATTTCTATGTCCGTAACTCTGATTCTCTTCCTTACCCACAATTGGACATTCATGCACACAAAGACTACTGAGATTGTTCTTAACAACATAATGAAAACTAATAATCGAATCTCTGTCCACATTTTTAGAAATCAATAACACTTGTTGGCTGAAAATGAGAGAAACCACCTCTAGCTAAAATTAGGAGAAAGGAGATTTATTAAGAACATTTAGATAATTCAGGTAATTACTGGGAAGTTTGGTTGCATGTCACTTTGAATAAGAATGAAAATCTCCCTTCAGAATGTTTCCATGGAGAAATTGCTTTACTGCCCACAGCACTAAATGCTGCAGCCTGACCCAGAGACATCAATGGGAATGCACATCTAGATGCCACCATTAATACTACTGACACTG